TAAGGATGACCGGTGCCCTCACAGCGCTCACTGGCTGAGCGCGGTGCGGCCAGTCTCAAAAAGGACAAGAAAAAAAAAAAAAAAAAAAAAAGAAAAGGTGGATAAAAGTAACATCGTCCCTCACAGTCTCAGCTTATGATCTGTGTGTCATCATCTTGAAATGGGATTCTTAGGCCATCCTTCCTCTAGATTTTGGTATTATCTGAATTCACCCACTATGATTACAGCTTTTTATTTCAGTCTGAAAGTTATAAGGTATGCTTTAAATAATAATGCAAAAAATATTTTATGCTCTCGGATGTATTTACTGTTTTGCAGATTTAAGGAACAAATGGCATCTGGTGATTGACCGCCTCACTGTGCTCTTCTTAAAATTCCTGGAGTATTTTCACAAAATGCAGGTGTTCATGTGGTGGATTTTGGAGTTACACATCATCAAAATTGTCTCATCATACATTATCTGGGTTTCTGTGAAAGAGGCAAGTGAACATGGGTTGTATTGTCAGGCTGAGTGGAACCACAGCGGGTCGTCATCTTCCTTTCCAATGGTCCACGATGTTTTCAATGTAATGCCCATGACATGAGGGTATCAAGGCTCTAGGATAGACGCGTACCCTTTGACATACAGAAGACCAAAGGTCAGTGGTACTGAGAAGAGGGAAAGATAGCAGGAGGGAAGGAGGCTCATGGTTTCCAACTGGCTTGGCCATAGTCCAAAGGTACTTATTTTCATCTAGTCCTTAGCTGAAATGCATCAGAGCAGGCTGTTTTTCTGTACTGCATATGGGAATCTGTCTCCTTAAATTCTCTTTGAACAAAACAGCAACATTCCAGTTTATGTTACCGAGGAGTAAAGTCAGGTTCCAAAATCTAATAAAACCCTTAGTAGAGCTCACCTTGTTTGTTACACAACTTTTGGAGCAAAGACACAAAGTCTTCAACGGTGCACTTGCATTGTGCTTCTGATCTCCTGTCTATGGCAAGGAGCCGCCACTCAGCCAGCATTTGCTTTAGCGAAATTATTGCTTTAAATTTATTTAACAAATAATTTTTGCATACTTCTAATTTCACTGGACTGTTTCTGAGTTGGTTACAATTCAGAGTCTTCACCCTCTATAAATTAAGACAGGGAACTACTGCCTATAATTTTTTTTTTTTTTTGACCAGTAAGGGGATCACAGCCCTAGGCTTGGTGTCATCCATACCACGCTCAGCCAGTGAGCGCACCAGCCACCCCTATATAGGTATAGGATCTGAACCTGTGGCCTCGGCACTACCAGTGCCGCACTCTCCCGAGTGAGCCACGGGCCGGCCCCTGCCTATAATTTTTAAAACGTTAAATGATAGTAAATTATTACACCTACAAATTACTAGATGGTTTGTAAACCTAAAATGTTTCACAAATAGGTAACTGAGGCAGGAATCTTAATTTGAGCTCTCCTGCCTAAAGTAGACTTTGTCCCATTTCATACAAACCATCTGAAGTAAACAGGGGATCACTGAGAGGTGAAAAAAAAAACATAAACCACTGTCCTGTGAGATCTGTGGCAGAAAATAACATGTGTCCATTCTTAAGTAACTAAGCCTATATATTTATTGAAACCAAAATCTACCCTTATATATATATATATATATAT